CAGAAAGCACATCACATCATTATCCTGCTTAAAACCCTGCCCAGTCTTCCCAATGTGCCTCAGGGCCTTTGCACCTGCAGTTCATTTTGCCTAGAATGCTTTTCTCCAAGTCTTTGCAAGGTTACTCCTTCCTGCTTCTCTCAACTCAACTACCTTCTCAGACAGGCTTTTTTTTTTCCTTTTTTAATAAAAAGGATGTTTTATTGAGATATAATTCACATTCCATAAAATTCACCCCATTTAATGTGTACAGTTCAATGATTTCAGTATATTCCAATTGTTCAAACATCACCATAATTTAGAACATTTTCAGTATCCCCCCAAAAACCCCATACCAATTAAGCAGTCATTGCTTCCTGCTCCCAGCCCTAATTCCTGCTAATCTCCTGTCTCTATTGCAGACACTCACTCTGTGGTCTTTTATGACTGGCTCATTTCACTCAGCACAATGTTTTTAAGGTTTATCCATGTCATAACACATGTCAATACTTCATTCCTTTTAATGGCTGCATAACATTCCATTGTATGAACAGACCACATTCAGTTTATTCACTCACCAGTTACGGGAGTTGGGAGAGGCCGTTCTTGACCACCCCAGGTCACATGGGCTCTTCTGTTGCTCTAGCACCTCTTCCAGTTTTATCCACTTGCCTCCCTGTCTGCATATCTTCATTTGTTTTGTTTATTGTTTCTCTCCTGTCTGAATGTCAGCCCCATGAGGCCAAGGCCATCCACATTACTTGCTGCTGTCCCCCAGGGCCTACCACAGACCTGGCACACAGTAATTGCTAAGCCTTTTCCACCATCTGCTGCAGTTGACTATGCCCATGAAACCTCCCTGCCCACTCTGAGCTCTGGGAGGACAAGTGCTGTACCCACCAAGGAGGCCTCACCAGTAACCATGGCAGGAAACTAATAATGCAAGGCACTCGAGGCCTAGGTTCCTTGTCCAGTGGGATGTATCCCTCACAGGTGATGTCAGTTAGTGGATGTTAGAATGTCCACTGAGCACCTGACTCAGTGTCGGATGCAGAGTGAGGTCTTCAACCTTGCAGAGAGATTATCCATGTGGGGGCAGGCAATGGAGCAGCATGGAGGGGATGGAGAGGGGGAGCAGGCCTGCAGTGCTGACACAGCCATAAGTCCCATGGATGCAAAAGTAGAACAGCCACAAGAAGGATCCATGTGTGATTTTGGTAGTGCCCAGAGCAAGAGGGTGCAGCTCAAACTCTGCCCTGTGCTACACTCAGCTCTGAGCCCTGCCCAGAGAGGGAGAGGAATAGCCAGGTTGTGTTCACTAGGAAAAGGAGGTGAGGAAGATACTGAAGACCTAACCTCTGCCTCAGGGAGTCCTAAGCCCCTACAAGTTGTACCAGGACAGTGGAGCAGATGGGTAGGGGACTTGGGGTACAAGACTGGGTGTTGTTGTGTGGGGGGAGGCATCCTGGGAAGAGAGGTGTAAACTCTAAGTAGGGGAGAATTTCCCTGTGTTAGAGCTGCCCAGACACAGCCCAGGCTGGGATCCTGGGAGTTCTGGTCCCAGGAGATACATGCACATGTCCTCCTGCTGAGGGGCATCAGATGGCTCACTGTCTGGGAAGCCCCCTGGAAGCTCCCAGACCCTGGCTGCCAGCTGCTCTCCACTTCTCCCTAGATGCACCACAGAGCTGGAGGGACCAGGGGGCAGGGTCTGCTCAGCTGAGGCCCCACCCTATCCCTACCTAGCTTCCCAAGTGGGCTGCCCCTGACCACCAGGCAGCTCAAATGCCCCATTAGCCCTCAAGGCACCAAAAAATGACTTTTATTCCCAAACTAAGGCCAGGTGCAAAAGAGATTTTCCCATCTGACCCCAGAGGCTAAGGATTACTAGTATCACACACTAGGGCTTGTGACAGGGGCCTAGAGGTTTGTGCTTAGAGACAAGGTCACAGTGCAGCACCCACCCTGCTCTGGGCAGGCTCATGGTGTCAATTCATTTGATCTCAGATCAACCCTAAAAGGCTTTTATGCAGTATGAAGGAGCTGAGCCAAGTTTCAAACTCAGGAAGGCCTGACTGCCAAGTCTATGTTCTCCCCACTTCATCACTCTGCCTCCCCCAGTGCTGAGACTCAGCAGGAAGAAGGGGACAGGGATTCCAGGGTTGCCTTCCACTGTGTGCTGAGCCAACTGAACCATTTAGAATTGTCCCCGAAATTCCACCCAGCTGGCACTGCTTTCCTCACTTTACAGCAAGGAAACAGGTCCAGAGAAGTTTAGCAACTTGCCCACCACTGCACGTCTTACAACCTACCGTTGCTGCCTTTGGATGTGGAGTGTCCAACTCCTAAGCTGTTCTGTCCAATAGATGACCCAGAGCTGGAGGACCCCCTCTCAGGGACCTCAGGCCAAAGACCCAGAGTCCCTGCCCCTGGCTTCTTGGCTGCAGTTACCAAACCTCTAGGCAGAGGGCTAGGGCTAGACGGCGGGCAGCTGCTCCCCACTCACACTTCACGCGTTTCCAGATGTGAGTGGGACCCTGGCTGGGGCGACAGGCTCATGTAGAGGGGAATCTGAAGACGCAAGAGGAAAACTGTGTGCTGTCCACTCGCACCCTCCAATTTGTCCCTGTGGCTGCTGCCAACCCTGCCTCAGGCCACAGACTGCTGACTCAGGTCTCCCCTGGCAGCTGAAGGGGCTAGGATCCTGGCAAGGGCCAGATCTGTCTGTCTGACTCAGGGAGTGGTCTTAGCCCTCTTGGGGGCCCCCAACAAAGTGGGGTCGGGATCTACAGAGCAGAGTGTGTTTCCTGGAGCCCCTTAAGGCCTACCTTCTCCAACTCACCTTGAACGTGCCTTGTACTTACAGGTGCTAAGTAGGGGTTTGGGGCAAACCCAGTGCCAATTATGGTTCCCATACCCACTCTGACTGATGGTGAGGCAGCCGCCCTGCCAGTGATCACAGTAGCCTTTTGGTGCAGGTCTGCCCATCATCACCGTCTAGCTAGCAGTGGCCACAAAATTCTGCCAGCATTTACCATGAGCCACACAAGGCTCTACCCCACAGCCCTATTGAGTAGCTCTGCAGTGGTCCTCACTCTGGAGATGAGGAAACTGAGGCATGGAGAGGCCAGTTGGTGGGCTCCATGAGGCTGTGCTACTCCTTGTCAGAGAGGGGTGAGGCCCTGGCAGAGCACAGTGGGGCCTCCCAGTGTCAGACCCACTGGTTGTTGTAAACATCCCCTGAGGTTTTTAAAGTGCCAATCCCTAGAAACTGGAAAAGAATGCAGTGTGGGAAAATCCAGCACGGCTAGAGAGAAAGACACGTGGGGTACTTGTCCAAGGCCCAGGGACTCATCCCCTGCCTATTCTGGCCTCCAAGAGGTCTTTCCCAGGGACTAAGGGGGGCAGGCAGCTGCTGACTCACTCCAGGGTGAGCTTTTCTCTCTCCATTCCCACAGTCGGCCAGCATCTCCACCCAAGAGAACCCCCTCAGCCCTCACTTTCTGCCCTGTTCCCCTAAACCATGCTCAGGCCTGGGGCCTGTTCCTGCAGTGTCTCCTATCCTCACCCACTCATCCATCCAGGCAGAGGCCAGGGTCCCAGACACTCCCACCCAGATGCAGAGACAGCTGTGGCCATTGTAACAACGGCTATATCATAGTGAGAGTGAGACACATGGCTGGGTTTCTCCTTTCCCTTTGGCTGCCAGGAAGCTTGGCAATTTTCACAACAGAAGGCACTCAGGATGCTACGTATATCTATTCTATTCTATTATTCCCCCTGGGTCATGACATCCTATTCTAAATTGTAATTTTCCTGGTCCTGATGTTTCATTATTTAATTTATTATAGGTATTTCCTATAAACTGTCACAAATATTTTGGGAAGGAAGGAGAGATGGAAGGAAGGAAGGAAGGAAGGAAGGAAGGAAGGAAGGAAGGAAGGAAGGAAGGAAGGAAGGAAGGAAGATATAGTGTATACCAAGTAATGAGGGTGAGAAGAAAGAAGGAGAATCTTCTAATTCCTTAAGCTTCATAAAACTCCCTTTTAAGTAAAAAATATGCTCTTTGGTGGTATCCAGATAGGCATCTTCCAAACAGGAGGCTTCCTTTAAGTCCCTTCTCAATATCAATCCTGGCACCCCCCCAAAACTCCTTTAGAGCTGAGACTGAGACCCTAGACTTGCCTGAGATCACACAGGCCCCACCTTGCTCCCGGGGCGGGGGGGGGGGGGGTGGGGGGGCGGTCCTGAATCCTGTCAGCCAGCGCAGAGGCTGGAGCCAACCTCAGGGCTCTGCTCTACCTTCCGTTTCCACAGGGGCTCCCTCCAGTTATTCCTTCCATTGATCCAGCTTAGGGGGGAAGTACACCAACCACAGCAGCTGTAATCAGAACTCACACTGACCCAGGACTTGAGGTGTGTCAGGCCCTGTTCTTTGTGCATTACCTCATTTAATCCTCACTAATCCTACAGGGATCTTCAGGTGAAAAACTCTGACCAGATAGGTGAAGCCACCTCACACTGCTGATAATGCCACAGCCAATTTTAAACTTGGGCAACCAGGAGCCCCAGCCTGCCACTGACAGTCATATAAAACAGTCTTGCATTGTGCTCTAAAGGAAAGAGTACAAACCCCATTTCACTGATGGGCAAGGCTCAGAGAGGGTAAATCACAGAGCTGTGCCCAGTGACCCTGTGTTATGTAACTAATTCCAAACTCTATGAGCACTTGGAGTTTGCCAATCATACCGTGTTTGCCACTGACACCCTCCAGTAGGCACACAGGGTCACAGCCAAGTGCCAGTGCACTCCCTGACCATCCACACTTTCTCTTCCTTCCCTCCCCATTAAAGATTCTGAGTTTTTCCAGAGAGTGCCTGCCGTCCACCCCTGCCCCTACCCCTGAGTGGGGCTGCCCTGGACCCCCTAGAGCCTATGGAAACTGGCCAGCCTGGTGGCCACTTGCTCCCACCCAACGAGCAGTAGCGGGCAGTGTGATAGCCACACACATCCCCTCGTACCTGAGGGTCCTCACAGAGACGCAGTGCTTCCACATAAGGCTCCACACGGCACTGCCACCACCCTTCATGCCTGGGCAGGTAGGGAAGTGAGTGACCAAGAGACGCACAGCCACTGCCCTCTGCGCTTGGTTTCCTCCAAACCAGGTCCTGGTTCTTCTCGTTGGCTGCCAGGTCACTCACTTCTTCATGGTGGGAAAAAGAAAGAAAAGACCCAAAAGCCAGGGGAGAAGGTGAGGCGCTGGCTTCTTCAGGCCCTGCAGGGCCCAGCCTCTATGTCTGACCGCCCCTGCTTGAGACACTCCAGGCTGAGCTGCACTCGCTCATACACCAGACTCTGTGGCTTCTGCACAACCTTGTGCCTGCCTCCTGCCAGGAGACAGCAGTGGTGGGGGCGGGGGCAGGGCAGCAGTGAGTCACTAGGGGTGGGATGGGCAAGGGGCATCCACCTGTGAGGGAAAACCCACAGCTGGGCCGCATGAAGCTCAGGGGCCTGTCCTGTGTCCAGAGGCTGGCCTAGGAGGGGAGAGGCTGAGCCTGGGAGGAGGAAGATGGGCGGGGAATGAGAGGGCGGGCACACATCCTCCCCCATTTCCCCAGAGGCCTAAACCCAACACCCGCCTGCCTGCCCACAGCCCAGCCCACCAGAAGCACTGGCCAGGACAGAAAAGGACTGTCTGCCTTCTTGGCTCCTGGAGGATGCTTGAGGTAGCAAGAAAAAAAAAGACAAAATCAGGGCTGCTCCCTGGGACAGTGGCCAGCCCATGAGGGTCTCCATCTAGTGAGAGAGATGATGCTTCTAGCTCTGGCTAGGTCACCTCTTTACTGTGTAAGAATGCAGGACGACACTGACTCCTCTTTGGCCTCACCACCTCAGGCTCACAGAGCCCTGGACATAGGTCCAGACCAACTCATCTAATTCTCCCAACAGCTTATGAAATGGATTTTATTACCAGTCCACTTCATGTGACAAAACTGAGGCACAGATAGGGGAAGTCACAGGCCTAGTGATGGGGATGGGATTTGAACCATGGTAGTCCAGCTGCAAGCCAGCTCCTCTGTGTAGAGATAGGCTGAGAGCTGAAGCCTCTTTGTTCAGTCTTGGGGTCTGGGCCTGAGCTGGGTTTGGGTGTTTCCAGATTGGGGCACCAGATGGAGTCCCCACCCCCACACCCACCAGCTGCTCCCAGGCCCAGCCCAGGGCAAGCAGCTGGGGCTTCCCAGGCAGAACCCCCAGGGACAATGACTCACAGCTCAACATCAGTGCTCACAGAACCTACTTATCCCTACCCACAGCCCACCCAAAGGAAGTCCCCCAGAGCACAGGTGAGCCCAGATCCAGGCACCCTGCAGGGCCCTGGGCGTCATGTATGGCTGCCAATGCCATCATGTCTTCATTTCACCCATGAAGAAACCAAGACTCAGGGGCATCACCTGCTTACAGAGGGGTCTCCAGGTCAAAGTCTGGCTCTGTCCCCAGGCCCCCTGCCATGGCCTGTGCAGGATGGGAATTCCATCCCAGATTCCATCCCAGTTCCTGTAGCAGGGAGCATCAGCTGCATGCTCATCTATCCCCTAAGGCAGGAAAGGACTTTTTATCTAAAAGCAAGATGGGTTTCTATAAAGACTGTGGTCTCCTCGGGGACCTCAGAACCTCAAATTCTCTCTCTGCATCATCAAAAGCCACCAAAGTGGGTTTCTATCTGCCAAAGGCAACCCTCTACAGCACCCTGGAGGAGTAGATACATAGATGTTCAGCCTCAGCTTGAACACCCTCAGTGTTGGGAGGCTTACTACCTATCAAGACCCATTACATAATGGGTCTCTACTGACCTAAAGAAACTCCCTTGGATAGAACCTCCCTGTCATTTTTCATACTGGCCTCACTTCCTTGTACCACACAGAGTAAGGTCTTTATTCAAGTTTATCTGGTCTGTCCTCCCACTAGTGAAAGTTTTCCCAACATCTTTTGTGGGTGGAGGCAGCATCTGTTTACACACCTCTACCCACTCACTCCTATATTCACACATCCATCCACCTTCCCCACCTCTCTAACAAACCCTCCGTGGATTCATTCATTCATTCACATATACAAACACATTTTCTTCTTTCCCTCTCTCCCTTCTTCCCTCCCTCCCTCTCTCTCATCATCTATCTATGTATCCCCTCATCAAACTTTCCATCCATCTGTCCATCCACTCATCCACCCCTCACTCACTCCCCTCTGGCCTGAGCTGGCCCTCTGTCCATACAGGGTCAAGAAGGAGGTTGTAACAACCTCTTTGTCTTCCTGAGGCATCTTCCTGAGCCCAACCCCCAGCATCCCTGTCAGTCCTTCGCCTTTCACTTGGGCCCTCAGGTTTCCATCCATGGCCTGTCACAACCCCAGAAAATTTGAGGCTTTTCATATGCAGGTCCCTTTCAAATTCCTCTTCTGGAAGACACCCCATCACCAAAACCTCTTTAGGGCCTGGGACCTCACTTCTTTGTTCCTGCACTTGGCTGCATCCACTTGTGTTCAACATCTTTCTTTTCTTTTTTTTTTTTAATCCTCACTTGAGGATATGATAATTGAGTTTAGAGAGAGAAAGAGAGAGAGAAACACTGATCGGCTACCTCCCATACATGCCCCAAGCAGGGATCAAACCTGCAGCCTAGCACACCCCCAGAAAGCCCCCACCTGGCACTCTTCAGTGTGACAACCTTTGCTGCCATCAGCACCCTGGGACACAGTAGGGCTCTCATCATGTCCTCTTTCATTCTCTGAACACTCCTGAGGAATGTGTCATTATCCCCACTTTATGGATGAGGAGACAGAGGCTCCCAGTGCTCTGAGGTCTCCTGAATGTCAACTGTCACACTCCATCTGTCTTCACCACTGACAGTGGCTTATGCTTGAGAATGGGGCAGACTCCTTATTCATCACTGACTCCCTCATCCCTACACAAATCATCTCATCTATCTAAGCCTCAGTTGATCCCTATCCTCCTGGGTGTGGTGAGGAGTAAGTGATCCCAAGCCTGCAGAATGGCGTGACCCTGGATGCAAGACCACCTATCAGGGTCATCTTCTATAGAACAGCAGGACCCAACATCAGCTGTCGGTTCAAAAGCACCTGGCACTGCTGGGTATATGTTAGGTGCTCAGTGACTGGCTGTCCTTCCTCCTGTAGGGGGACCAACAGCAGGAAGGCCAGAGTGGGCCATCAGAAGGAGGTGAGTCTGCTTGAAACATTCACACCCTTGTCTGTTCCTTTCCCCAGCTATACAGACAAAGCCAGGCTCTCCAGAGAGCTGGCCAGCCCTCCACCCTCAGACCAGTGACTCACACAGCCCACAAGGGATGAAGTCACTGCCGCTTAGGCAAAGAAAAGAATACATTTGTTCCCCAGGAGATGCCAACACTATGGTGAACTTGGCCAGCTCGGGGTTTGTGGTCACCTGAGGGTAGCAGCAGTTTCAGGATGGGTGGCAATGGATGAGGACTCCAGTCAGGAGGACATGGCCTAGGGGTGTGCAACTCCTCTGGCGGCCAAATGAGGGATTATGAGCCTTGGGCCAGCCTCCAGGCCTAGCTAGATTTGTCCTGTCTCCTTGTCTGTGGAGAGTATCTGTGGTCCTTAGGGCTCTGAAACACCCCTACTCTGCTTTGTATCTGCCTGTCTCATCCACAAAATAGATGCACTCTACTCCTTTCCCACCCTGTGAGCTGGAGGTGATGGCAGGGCTTCGAGGCCTGCAGCAGCCCACTACCTGCTCATTGGGTCTCTATGTGTCCTCTCCAGTAGTCTCCTTGCCTCTGACCCATAACCCACTGTACACCATAGGGTTGTTCTAACACCCACCAACCTCCCTTCCCATGGCAGACCTTCATCTACAAAAGAAAGATCAAGCCTTGGCCAGGCACACAAGGCCCTTTGCCATATACCATCTGTACTGAGCTTCTGAATACCTGCAAGCTGCTCTCTTGTAGCCACAGAATGAGCACTCATTGGCCTCCTGGTCTGCCCACTCAGGACCAGAAATTCTGCACATCTGGACCAGTTTCTCTCCACATGCCCTGCAGACTGATTCTCCATTCTTCTCTGGGCACATGGACAGCATAACTAGGACCTTGTGCCCTCCCTCTCGTGCTGGGTGTGACCATTAGGAAGCCCAGGCAGGAGAGCAGGAGGCAGAGGAGAGACAGGTCAGTGAGGGTATTCACTGCCCCAGTCCTTGTCCTCTCCTGTGCTTCTCTGTAGCCACAGTACCTGGTGGCCAGTCCTTTGCATACCACTCTTTCTCTTTCTGGGTTCATGTAACAGTGTCCTACTCTGTCCTCAGGCCTGTGGCTGGTAGGGCCTCCCCACTGCTGCCAGCCTAGGTGCCACACCTTTTCTTGCAAGTTCCATTAACTACCCCCACCCACTTCTGCATGATGAAGCCCCAAAACAGCCAGCACTGCAAACTCTTTCAGTGAGCGTAATGTATTCTGCCATGACCCAGTACACTACCCTTGAAGATGCAACTCAAAGGCCATCATATCTAAGAAGCTGATTATTTGTTTGTTTGTTCCTTCATTAACTTCACATAATATATATTTAGACTGCCTCACTCTGTGCCAGATAGTACGTGAGGACTTGGTGAAGAAGGCAGTAGACCCTACGAGGGCTGACATTCTGGTAGAAGAAACAACAAGCGCCAAGTGAGAAAATAAATAAAGATAGCTTTCTATTGTAATCTGTGTTATGAAGAAGACAAAGCAGAGAATTTCTTTTGATGATAAGCTTCCCCTGGCACCCTCCTTTTCCACCCCATATCATCCCTGTTCCCTGAGCCTGGGCTGCAACCATTTCTCTCCCTCCACACATATTACCTGTGTCTGGGTCCCTCCCCTTCACTGCTCTGAGAACCATGGAAGGTGGAGGAGAATTTCCATGCAACTTAGGTCTTGGTGCACATTATCTGAACAAGCCTCTACACTGACCTTGGGTAGTAGCAGTCCTCATCATCTGTTTTTATAGATTAGCAGGATGAGAATACCTTGCCCAGGATGATCTCTAAATCCAGCAGTGCCTATCTGGCTCTCAAGAACAAGCTCTCTCTCTTGCTTCAGGTTAAGAACAAAATGAATCACCATCGTTTATATTTGTAGTCTTCCAGTGGTGCCCAGAGCAGGGCCAGGCTAAAGGTGGACACTTGAAACATATACCAAGTTGGCTGTACATCAAAACCCTTAATCTTCCTGTCCCTTAAATAGCATTTGCCTTGTGTGGAGGGGATACCAGGATGGCCCTATTTTCCAGATGGAAAAA